AATCATGTGAGCTTCCTTCATACTGCGCCTTGATGGTGTTGGCGATCATCTCCTGCAGCTGCTGGATAGAGAGAGACCCTATGAGCGTCGCCGCTTGGTCTGGCTTCAGCGTCTCTTCGACGTTCTCCACTGGAGGTTCCTCATCCTCGTCGTTTTCCCTTTTTACTGGATTATCCCCTTGCCTGACTTTCTCATCGGGCTTTGCATCTAGTTGGTTAACGAGTGCTGCGATTTGCAGGTCTTTGTCCTCCACAATCCTTGTGAGTTTTGCGATTGTTTCACTCATCTGAGCCAGCTGCTCCTCAATTGAAGTCGCTCCAGCAACCATGACTTGCATAGCTATGCCGCTGCTTGAGTCGGCATCAGAAAGTAAGGATTCAGAGTACTTCCTCTGGCTTTCCTCTCTTGGCGCCCTGAGCGAGGCCAGGGTGATCACCGATTTGTGCCTCGGGTGCTCTTGTGCCTTCGGCGGAGTTGATGCAGGGGCGGAAGAGGCGGCAGAAAGAGCTTTTGCCTTGCTTCGAGTTATGATGCCTGAAGTGACGCCCCCTGTCGTGATGACACTCTTGTTTCTTGCATTGGCAGCGAGAACAACTTGGGCCTTCCTTGACGCCATTTGTGCTTGTTGCGGATTCAAAGATAGAGATGAGAGGTAGAGACTTTCCCACTGGGCGTGCCAAATTTGTAAACACGGAAATTCCTGCGATGAATGAGACAAGAACACGTGTACAATAATATTTGTATTAATGATTTAGGGGTTACAATCTCTTCTACAAATTTAGCCTCTGATTCTATCTTTGTAATGGGTAGATGTAGTGTTGTTGACCCAGGGGTCGTCGAGGCTTGATCTTGGACGAACAGTTGATGGATGATAAACACCTTCTTCAAGGGCCGTCGGGGCTTGATCTTGAATGGGTGGAAGTTCTTCAAGGGGCGTTGGGGCTTGATCTTGAAGGAGGATTTCACGAAGAACGAAGAGGGCTTTCTTGATCCTTCGGGATTTACTTGAGAGCTTCAAAGTTTCGAGGCTTCAAGGCTTTGGTGTGGTGTGAATTCTCTTCCAATTTGGGAGTAGAGAAAGTGTGTGTAAAAATCCTCCCCTTGATCCTTTGATGGAGAAGCCTATTTATAGGCTTTGAGAATGAATCACCACCATCCATTTGTTTTGGTGGATGTTGTAGGTGAATTGGTGGATTGTTGTAGGTGAATTTGGGTGGAGGTTGTAGGTGAATTTGGATGGATTGTTGTAGGTGAATTTGGGTGTATGTTGTAGGTGAATTTGGGTGGATGTTGTAGGTGAAGTGAATGAAGGTTGTAGTTTTAATGCAATGGTCAACATTTATTTCACTAAAATTTCAATGTTTACAAATGTAATTTTAATGCGATGGCTAACATTTATTTCAACGAAATTTCAATGTCTACACCATCCATCTGTTGCTTAGGACCGAGCCTCTCGAACACTTTGACACGCTGGCCTTCACTTGGTTTCTTTGAAGGTGTTGCTGATATCGCCGACTGTTACGGAGGCGTTGACGTCTGAGGTAATTTTCCCTTGGGCTCGGTCAAGACAACGCGTGCTTTACAATTACTGCACAGAGCACCGGCCCGCCATTTTCTTCATTGCTGGAGTCTGACATGCATTGAACTATTGCCGGTCCTGAGAATTCGGTAGGTAGTGCATTGAAAATAGATCAATCTTGAGTAGGGGCTGGGAGTTTTTCTTGAGGATGTGTTGCACTGGTGCAAGCTCGATCTTCTCTTTCCCTTTACTTTTGGGCAAACGAGCGTCTACCATGCCAACTGTTGCCGCAGGGAATGGGTCCGTATCGACCGTCATGCGTTTCTCAAGAAATTTTAACTTGCCTTTATCAATCCAGCTCTGGATATCATCGCGAAATACGACATAATTGTTTGTGGCGTGCTTGGTCGAGTTATGATATTTACAATATGTCTTTCCTTTAAGCTCATCGGCCATGGGAATGTTATGCCCTGGCTGAAGCTTGATGATCTTTGCTGATAACAACTGATCAAAAATTGCCTCGGCCTTTGTAATATCAAAGGTGTAAACTTTTGAAGTTTTCGATGTCCCTTCTGTCGCCGAGCGAATTTTGGCATCATTGGAATTGATTTGAGTCAGCGTCTTGCAAATGTATGGTTTATCAATGACTATCTCAGCCGCGTCCACGCTGACGTACTGAGACTCGTCTCCTTTGGTCGAAGCATAACTGACCGTGGGATTTTTGTAAATCGTCCCTCGGGATGGGGATTTCGAGACCTTCTCCTCTCGGAGCAAATAGTCATATTGCTCGACATGCTAGGCTAATTCGTACATATCTCGAAAGTTTGCCCCCAAGAATTTCTTTTTGTATTCCACATCGAGGCCGTTCAAAGCCAGCCTGACAAATTCGACTTCGGGTAAAGGCACTCGGCACCAATTCCTAGTTGATTTAAATCTGGTCAGATAATCCATTGGTGACTCATCGGATGCCTGAGCTATCCTTGCTAATGAAGAAACTGACATCTCCATCCCTGGCCGATAAAACTGCTCGTGAATTTTCTCGACCAACTCCTCCCAGCTTTGGACAGAATTAGGAGGGAGGTTGTTATACCAGGCAAATGCCGAGCCAGTCAATGAAAAGTTGAACAGCCGTAGCTTATGAAAATCACTATTAACATCTCCGCATTGCGCGGTGAAATGAGCCACATGTTCCAACGAAGACAGGGATGATTCACCGGCAAAAAGGCTAAAATCTGGGATTTTGAAACCTTTAGGGTATTCGAATGTTTTCACATAAGCTGGATATGGATGGATAAATTTTGGGAACTTCGGCCCTTTTTTCATGGCCAAATCGATCATCCGTTGGACCTCAGTCATATCAACGAGCGTTGCTTCTATTCTCTGGTCGGATCCGTCTGTCCTACTATTCGATCCTCTCCTTTTTTTCATGTCAATTGGTTTGAGCCGAGCAGGGATTGACTCGGCCTGTACAATTGGTAACAAATTATTCCTTGGTGGCAAGTGCTGGGAAAGATCGAAAGACCTGCCATCGCTGATCTTACTAACCAGTATTTCGAGCAATCTAGTTTGTGTCTCACTAGTACTGCGTATCACGTCGTGCAGTTTATCAATTCCTCGACTGAGCGTCTGTTCAACCGTCCGAGACTGCTCGTCCAATCGTTTCGAAGGAACGACCTTGTTGGTGGATCAGAACCTTTACCACCATCCTCGTCGCATTCCCCCATTATCCCTTCATGGAGAACGTAGGTGTTTTTGTTAGGGATTTCTAGACCGCGAAGCTGTCCACCGAGATTAACTTTTTCTCGACGAGTCACGCTTGTGGAATCATGTGTCACGGCGTTAAGGGGATTCTGCGCCTGTGACACACTTTGTCCTATGTTCTGAATCGGCAAATCGGTTGTTGATTTTCCCATAGCTGTTTTCTTTTTTACCAATCGCATTTCAATTGGCATGAACTTCGTAGTTTAGCACTGGGTCCCACTGGGCGTGCCAAAATGTTGACCCTAAAAACGACCAAGCCTACGTGGCGCTCAGGCCGAGTAATTAATAAGCTAACTACGTCATTCGGTTGTGTGCGAGGCTTGCCAACTCGTCGGCCGAGCTCGGCCAAGGAGTAAAATTTATTGATGTTGCGTTGGGTGCGCGGCTGACTTCTGCGTCTTGCGATTGTGACCGAGGAAGGAACACGTCTCGGCCTCTTGGGTTCTCGAACCTGAAAACAAAGCTATTATTCTTACGAAGTTCACGAATCGCCATCGTCGGATTCGGTCACAGTGATGTTATTCGTCAGAGTAAACTCACGCCGAATTGATACCAAAATGTAAGGGCACAAATACTCAAAGCAAATATAAGTCTTAATAGTGAACGTGGTTCGGTCGTCTGAATGCCGAAGTTTAAATCCTACTTGAGAGTATCCAATCATAAAATAACTCGGTGTGCAAAACGCCGAGCTCAGTAAACTGTAACACCTCACTTCGCCGAGAAGGCTAATGAGATGACCTCAACCAATAAGGATTCGGAAATCCTTCTCGACCGAGACTTGGATAGGCAACCAACCGTCCTCGCCGCAGTGCTGTTGATGCCAACGGAAGATACTGCGAGATCGGCTGATTCTACGGCGACAGAGCTATCCATGCCGACTTAAGATGTCACCAGTTGCTTTCACAGTGTTGTTGATGCCAACGGAAGATGTGTCAGCGAAAAGAGAAAATAAAAATCTCAAAGGTTGTTGAGAGAGTTTGCGCATGGCAGTTGTGTGTTGAATTGGAGATAGCTCATTTGTTGCACAACCTCCTCTATTTATAGCACTGGATACCTTTAAAGTCGAGTCAAAACCCTACTCGGAGTAGGCCTTCTTCTCCTGATCAAACACCGACTCGACCAGTCCTATTCTCACTATAATTGTGAACCTGGTCCTTTATTGAGCCGGATTCACTTCCGGGTTATTGATCCTGCCGAGACTCCTTATTGCACCAGGACTCAACTTGCCTTGCGTCAGACCTAGCCGACCTAGGTTTGGAGGCCCACGTACTAAACGATCCATGGCACCCTTGTCGCAAGGCCTTCCGGGCCGAGAATGATTCTATACTCGGCCCAAACTAATACTTTGGGCCCAAACAGTGTCATCATACAATACTCCTCACTATGGTTATATGACATTTATGCTTAATGTGTTTTTAAATTTTGGACTTGTTGGATACTCTTTTTGCATTTTTTTCATTCTTTTATTATCTTATTCATGGATTTCGTACGAGTATAATTTTTTGTAAGTGTCAATATGCACTTATTTTCAAGATATATAAGAAATTTACCTAAATTTGCCTAGACGCTAGGCGCTAGCCCACCGCCTAACTAACGCCTAGCGTTTTTAGAACCTTGAGCTGTAGTATGTGACAATATAGTGGATTCTATGAATTATTGAAGAAAAATATTTATTGGGTTGAAGTAAAATCTTCATTTGATTTATCAAGTTTTGTGCTTTCCCTACTAATATCAATTTTCGAAAAGTAATATGTCATGCTTTGTTGGGCTATTTCCCAGAAAACCCTCTCGGTGTTCCCAGAATCTGCACCTGGGGTATCCTTCCTTATTTGCAGTTTCTCCTTTTTCCCAAATTCATTATTTGGGACATTCTTCCTCTCTGTATCTTTCGAAGAAAACTGACATGTTCTATGCTACACAGAAAAGGATGTTGCCCAATGCTTACCGGTTGTTCACGGGTACATTTCTTTTATGCTTTTTGTTGACTAATTTTTGCTTAATTTCAGTCCTGTATTTCACTTATGAGAGAGGAAAGTGTAATGTAGAAAGTTAGTTTGAGCTACAATTGCATACAGTGTGTGTTGTTTAGGAACTGAATAAATATCAATAGTCTATATGCTAGCCTCGCAAAATGTTAACTGAGTTTATTACACCTCTGCCTTGCCTCTCGCCTCTTCTCTCGCTGTTGATCACCCCTTCTCACAACTTCATCTAAAATGTTCTGCATCTGCATTTATAAGATTTTTGTTCATGGAGGTCATTTCAAAGGGATCTCAAGTTAGGTTGCAGAGATTTGATTCAAATTTATGGATTTGGGTAAGAAACTAAGAACCCCTAATCTTTTCTTTCGGTTTTAAGAGAGTGAGAAATTTTTTGTTTACTGTTCTGGGGTGGGAGGGTACTGTCAGATACAACAGATTGAGGAATTTTAATCAATTTGATAAATTAAAAATTGAGAGTTGGCAATCTACACCAAAAATTGGTAACTAAATTGGCTAATAGGTTTTCAATTCCATGTTATTATTTTCTCTGATGAAGTTTTTTTTGCCTTTTCTGAACTTTTTTTTGTTTGTGTATGGTCTAAAGAAAATTGTGGTTTCTTAGTCGTTTGACATAATTTTGTTTTTATTTTTTATTTTAGTTTTTCCTGTAACGAAAGGATTGTTTTGTTTATTGCAAAGAGCAACGCTGTGCTCCAATCTGTTTAGGGCTTGGAGCTAGATCTTTCAAGTTTGGGTGCTGTGAGTTTTAATTCCAGAAGCAAAAGTACCCTTAATTGGCTACCTTTGGACTCTCAAGCTGTATATTGCTGTTAACGAATATTTGGGTAAGCGTTCTAATTTCATAGGGACAGCTGTTGGCAGCATCTTCAATATTTATGGTGGAAAATGGAATCTGCAACCGATAAGGCCAAGTATAGACACTGGTTCCATGTTTGGTTGGTTTATTCTGCTTTTTTGTTCTTCAGAATTTTCTTCTCTTATGAAAGAGTTCTTGATAGAGGTCGCACTTGGTGCAATGTCTTCGCCCATAAGCGGTAGGTCTCGGGTTCGAGACTTGGAAGCAGCCTCTCCATAAATAGGGGTAAGGCTAGCCGACATTCACCTCTCCCAGACCCTGCGTAAAGCGGGAGCCTTGTGCATTGGGTACGACCTTTATGAAAGAGTTCCTGATGATGTAACAATGTTTTACACATCACTAAACTCAGAGTGCCAATAAAGACCACCGTATCAGCTACTGTCTTGGAGGAGGCACTAAATGGCGTGGTCACTACCCATCCACTTCCATTGGGGCATTCTATAATGAAAAAGGTAAGTTATCATTTTTTGGCCTGGTTTATTCTTTTAATTATAATTCTATATTCATTTATTTCCTGTCTTTTAACAGGTTGAAAATCAATGTGATCACTTCTATTCTGTTACAATAACCTAAGCGGAAGCAAGAGCTGAATTTGTCTGCTAAGTGCAATCTCCTGCAAAGGCAAGTTCAAGGATAAATCTTATCTCTCTTCGTACACGGTTTACCTGGAAAGTAACTATTTATATATGTTCTGCTCTTTTAACTTATCAAGTTATGTCGACGAAATTGTCTTTTTGCAGCTATTATACTTTGATCAGGAAGATATTGGTGGATTGAGCCTTTGCCTACAGGTACCAAGACTTTTCATCTTTAATTTTGTTTGGTTATGAATTATTAGCGTAGTCAGGCACTACAATAAGTTCATTCCTATGACTGAACCAAAGAATATAGATACAGAGCTGGGTGGCAGATAGGATGAGCGTGGCAGTTTACTGCGTGTTGCATGAGTCAAAAAGTTCAATTCGCTTCCTCTTCTTCTTCTCCATCAAAACCCTAATTTTCCCAATCCGATCTGTCCTATTTCTCAACACACCCACCTCCCCTCTCAAGTCTCTATCTTTAGCCGGCCGCAACTCGACCAAACTAACCCAAACCGTCAAATAGGCTGCCCACCCGCACCCATCACCGTCCATCCCCATCATCACCGCCTACTTCACTGACCCACCGTCCCTCCACCGCCTCTGCACCCAAATCAAGGTCCAAATGCACTATCTTGCTTTGTTTTTGGAATTCGTTTTTAAATTTGATATCTTTTTTGCAGCTACTGGAAAGAGGTCACATGAAAATTTCTCTTCTGGGAGTTATGGAAGAGTTGGGGAGAAAGAACATGGTCTTCAGCAACTGAGATTCAAAGCTGCTTCGCTTTCTTTCTCAAGTGTTTCATCAAGGAAGAAGATGGTCAGTTAATTCTCCATTTTTCAAAAAAAAAAAAAAAATCATGATTTGAAGAATTTTTGGGAAAGTTTTGAGATTTTGAGCTTATGAATTCATATTTTGCAGAAACCAAATGAACCCAAGATCCGGATTCCGAAATCTTCTGACCTGTAGAAGAGGAATAGGCCATTGAGATTACTCTTAGTGCATGCTGAAACAGAATCTCAACAAGACATTACGCTGTTGATTTAATCATCAACTATAGTAGTGTAATGTGGTCTGAATTCTTTCTTATTAAATTCAGCTGGTATTTCATCCCTATTAAGATCTGTATGTGCAGCATTCGTTTTTGAGGTCTCTAATCCCAAAATCTTTTTTGTCAAATCCTTTCAGTAAATTAGCATGTCGAATCACGTTTGTTGATCTTTTTTCAAAAGCATATTCACTGAGTACACTACCTGCATATTACAGGCTTATATAATAATAGCTTAGAAAGATATCAGAATTTATGTTTGGGAATGAACTTCCTGCCAAAAGAGAGGTAATTGTCTTATATCTTCTTCTCTCGTTGTGTTTATATTTATTTTGTTGAAAAAACGCCCACTAAACCTTGTTCTTTAATGTAACCAACGACAATAGACTAAACTAGCAAATATAGAAAACTTAGAAACATACAAGACTTATACTGGTTCGGCAGAACTTATGCCTACGTCCAGTTGTGATTTCTCTAGGTAGAGAATTCACCGCTCCTTTGATTAATAATAGAGATTACAAAACTTTTGCAAACGCTAGAACTCATCTCTCTCATCTTGGCTGTCACAGTTTTTCTTACACAGATTTATGCCTTGCCGCAACCTATTTATAAGCATAGGTTCAGCTTACATGTCCCAAGGCTAATTGAATTCCTATTCTAAGTGGATTAGGAATTTACACTTATCCAAATCCAAATAGACTTCAAGAAATCCAAACCTAAATTGAATAAGAAAACTGAAATTCTTTCCTAAACCCTTTAGGACAAGAAACAGTATACCTCTAATTTTCCCTAAAACAATCCTAAACCAACTAGGACACTTTGACGAGCCAAAAAACCTAACATATTTTTCCTGAGTTGTGTTCAAATATGACAAACAAGAACTACAAAGGCAGCTAAGAATATCCAGCAATCCATTAGCGGTTGAAGAATTAATTGGTTGTGTATCTTGGATTTGTCGCGTTTTCCTATCGGAAACATGTGAGACTTTATGCACCATGTATATCTGTGCAATGTATATCCCTTGTATATTTATTGTACAAAATATTAGTTCACTTACAATTTAATTCTATTCATCATTGGGTAAACGTTTATTATTGAAGTCTATTGATACTGCAATTTTTAGTTCTATTCAATAACACTTTTATTTATTTCTGCTCAAAGTTTGGTACCTAGAAACGCTTTTAGCCTTACCGAAGCATTCCCAGACACACTCTTTAAGTTGATCAATCATTTGTTTTGTTCAACATGGCACGTTGCTCTTTAATATTTATGTGTATTTGTTAAAAATTGACTCAATTGATTAGGATGAAAACCTTAGTTTTGGGTTTTGTTCCACAAGGACCCTGTTTGGTCATTTATATCTGTGTGTGAATTTTGCAGTGAAAATAAGGAGAGGATTAAGAAGACCAAGTAAAGAAGAGGTGTGGTTTTGCAATCTATGACTGCGGCTGTGACAAAGCTTTTCATAGTGGTCAGGATGGTAAAGGTAAAAAAATGTCTAATTTTATTCACATGTGTATTCTTTTTCATGTGCATAAGCAAATGTACATGCATAGGCATGGTGTGTGTGTTTTTCTTCTTTGATTTGCTTTTATTTTTATTGAGATTTGGTCAGTATTAAATTGAAATTGATATTTTAGACTTTACTCCTTATGTGGTTTTCAAAACCCAACATGTGAAGGGTTAATTCTATTTTTAGGTTGAAGGAAAATACGGTGTATAATTTTGGGAAGTGCTTTCAATTCTACTCTCATCTCTAATATGAATTTAGATTAGAACCCTGGCCTTGAGTAATCCAAAAGCTAAAATCACACCCTCTCAATCGGAACTTCATTGTAGACATACTCTCTTTCCCTCTTAATTGCTTCTTAGGGCTTCTTTGTTTTGATTTTCATCATCCAATTTGTTAAATTTGTTGTTAATTTCAGGGTACTACCAGTTTTCTGCCGACTCTGATTCCACACTTCAGAAAGGTATGCCTTTAATTTATGATAAATTTTGCCAATTTTATTCTCTTGATTTGGAAAGGTATGACTCCAATTACTTTGTTTTCCAAAGCCATCTTAGCATATGCATCCCCAATTGTAGAACAAAAGCTAATCCAATTGCTAATCTTAGCATCTGCATCACCACCATTATCTTTCGATTTTGAGTGCCTTTATCGAATAGAGGGCAACTACACAGTTTTATATCTTCGATACACAAATATCAGCACTGATTTCTTTTGTTTACTAAATGCATGCATAATCTGTGGTTCGTTTGAACTTTGATATATGTCAAACTTATAGTACAGGTACTGGGACATTGTTTGGAACAGAGCTGGAGGTGACGATGTGGTGGAAAAGTAAGTCCTCTTACTTTCCTCTCTACCTAGCATACTACATAATCTTTCCAACTTTGACTAAAATTATATCCACAGCTCATTTGCAGGCTACAAGGACTGGATATAGAGTAATGGTTTAATAATGGTTTTAGAATGGTAAATGATTGCAGAAGCAACATGGAATTCAATAGTTGATATTTTGACTATAAGATGAGTTTCATCCCTGCCTTAATTCACTTAAATCCTGTGATTTCATGCCTCTTTTTGTTCTGATTCTGAGAATTTGGGATGGATTATGGTTTAACTTTTGCTTTGATATGCCTCTAGAGAGCCGCCACCACTGCTTTGTCCAAATCTGATGGCTTGCGCTGTAGCATCTGCGTGAATCTCCCTGCACAACTGGACTCCAGGACGTTTTCCAAATAAACTCCAGACTCCAAAGGGTGCGGCTGAAAGGGTAGAATCTGAGGCAATCAAATCCAATCCGGGGAAGAGATTGGATAGTTTCTGACATGTGGCTTTCTATTTTTAATCAAGTTTTTCTTTTTACGAAATTGTAAAACCACTTCAATTTTTCAGCAATGGTGTTTCTAAACTGGGCAGGCTAATCCGGAGAATACAGTTGGGGTATTGACAATGGCAGGCAAAGGGGTTCGGGTTTTGGCTACTCCAACCTCTGATCTTGGCAGGATTTTGGCATGCATGCAAGGCTTAGTTGTCAATTCATAACTAATTTGTTTGTGTGATTCGATTTGAATTTGAAAATTTTATATGTTTATCTTATTTGTAGAGTTAAATAGCTGATGAATCTTTATCGATGAAGCAGTTGGAATGGTTTTGTTGAATGTGAATGATCATTGTCTAGGGGGAACATTATAATCCAAAGCTGTAACTTGAGTTTTGGAGTGAAACTCGAAAAAGCTTTGGTACTAAATATTATCGTGTATGAATGTGATTATAATCTAAAGCTGTAACTTGAGGTTTTGGAGTGAAACTCAAAAGAGCTTTAATACGAGATATTATTGTGTATGAATGTGATACTTGATCTTACTATACACTGCGAATAAGTAATAAGAGATGGTCCGTTTTAAGTGTCATTTGTCTTCAGAAACTCAAATTTTGACTCTTTTGTATATTTTGGCGGAAATGCAGGAGTGGGTGCTCTTTGCTGCTGTCTTTGCGGTGAGGAATTCGAAGAATATGCGCTTCCAAGCAATTCATTATAGGCATTGCTTATTCCTGAGATACTTCTTCCTGCAGCTGTTCACTGGGGTAGGTATAAAGGCCATAATCATCTCAATTCATTATATGGCTCAACAAATGAGACAAATACATGATGGTGTACCTGTATATTTGTCTAATCTGTCTTTTTTTGTTGTAAGCAATGTGTTGCTATTGTATTAAGATAGTACATCTGCTATTTGGATAATATGTAACAGAACAAAATTATGTTACAAATCTGGGCTGGCAACACTATACAAAAATCTTACCTTAAATGTCTCAAAGTCACTTCAATTACTTACCCTACTCAACTTAAATTTAGTTCCCTTTTTTTTTTCTCAAATTTGTTTTGTGGCATGATTGTTTGATCCTTTACTGAATAGTTGTTAAGAAATGGTGATTAAAATGTGACTCATATTTTTTGCAATTTTTTTGTTCTGCAGAAATATGCGGCGCATGATAGGCGAGAACTTTTCTTCATTGTGAACATTCAAGTAAATCCCGTCTTTCAATATTTTTCTATTATTCTTTGCATTGTTCTTTCTTGGGTTTTCTGTGAGATTTATTGGAATGGTGGTTGTTTAGTGGTTTTCTAGGTTGCTGATAAAAGAATTTTGGGTAACGTGGTGGTTTGGGATAGCTATAGTCCTTGATGGATTTCAAATCAAGACAATATTTTAGTTTAAACTTTCAGTAACCCAAGGCATAGGCAAATTTAGATTTTTGCCTTCCTTTTTCTCGCCCGGTCTCGGAAAAGCATGTAATAGAGACACCACTTTTTTATAATCTTTGGAAGTATTTGGTTGTCGACTGGACGATCCTAATAGCGTATCCATTGGAGGTTGTTTGGATTCATATTTCTAATTTTTTTTTTTTTTAAATATGTCTAGAAATCATAAAGATGCTTCTGAAGAATGATAAGTAACGATTTCCAAAATTTTATTGTAATGTTTTTTCAATGGTGTCAAAGAGCTAAAACTGAAAGATGGGTTCTTTTTTAGTTATGTTTTTTTTGTTTTTGTTTTTGGATAGCTCTTCTGGTTGAAAAAGGATGAACATTCTTTGTTATTTTCTCGCTCATTTCATTATCTATTTCTATAAAATCTCATACTCATGAATATTGTCATCAAGGTGGATAGCATGAAAATGTTAATGCACTTTCCTCTGCCAGTTTATCAATTTGAATTCCACTTTATTTGTGGTTTGTTAATTGAAATATGTACAGCGAAATTCATTATTTTGAGTATGTTCTTACTTGGCATTTGTAAGCTTTTGATTAGTTATGAAAGGTTATATACTTTTTGCGCGTTTATAAACTTATGACAAGGAATTAGTTAATTTTTAGTTGGGTTAAAATGATATTGATTGTGGTGTTATAAAGCTCCTTTTTATAGTTAGGTTAAAATAACATTAAAAGATTCTTTATTTGGTTGATCCAATTTAATCCTCCTTTTGTTTTAGTTTCGTGTTAGCACATGGGGTATATTGCTTTGCTTGCTGGTTATTCGATGTGCCGTCAAATTTGAGTATCTTTATGTGGAAATGATTCATAGCTGTTGTAGATTATAGTAGCACTTCGTTTTGATTTGTAAACAAACTATATCTTTGTCTTGGGTTATAGTATAATGTTTAACAATTGAATTTGCAAGACGGTTTGGCAATTTTTTCTGAAACTTACTATTCCTACCAGATGCTCAAGTATTATGTCTTCTACTTTTCTACTTTCCCTTTTCTGTGTTTTTTCCTCTATGTAGTAGGCTGATTACTTGAAACTATGATATTGATGACACAATACGATCTACAATGAATGTTTCTTATAGCTATCCATATATAGCAAGCAAAATTTGACTTCATTGGTTCTTAGGTGCTACGTTTTTTTAGTTGCTTTGTGTGAAAACTATTCATGCATGTTGCGATTAATACATTCAACGCCCGCAGCAAAGCGCGGGCACATTTTCTAGTTTTAATCTAAAGGTTAAATTGCCAAAATGGTCCCTGAGATTTGCATAACTCATCATTTTGGTCCCTGATATTCCAAATCGATAAAAGTGGTCCCTGAGATTGTCCACCATCCATCATTTTGGTCATTCCGTTAAAAACTCCGTTAAGTGTCCCAGAGCTCTTGATCGGAATTTTTGGCCAATTTTCAAAGCTTCGTAACTCAATTGTTTTTTAACCAAATTCAACCCATAATATATCAAAATGATGATAGGAAAGTGTAGAATAAGATTATACCTATTTCGAAGCCCAATGGTTGCAAGAGATGGCTGGAAAATAGCCTTAAAATTGACTGGTCCGAGCAAAAACTTGAAAACTCGTTGGAAACTGGGTAAACTTTAAACGTTCATAACTTCTTCAATACTCAACAAAATCAAGTGATTCAAAAACGAAAATCATAATTCTCGACGAGACGAAGAGAATGGTATCTTTTTAGACGGCTAAATTGCCGTGGTTTGGTCGGAAACGGCTCGAAAGTGGCGGTCTTGGTCTCGAGTTAGTCACTTTCGAGCCGTTTTTTGGTCAAACCACGAATATTTAGCCGTTGAAAAATACCATTCTCTTCGTCTCGTCGAGAAGTACGATTTTCGTTTATGAATCACTTGATTTTGTTGAGTATTGAAGAAGTTATGAACGTTTAAAGTTTTCCAGTTTTCCCTTGGACCAGTCAACTTTGAGACTATTTTCTAACCATCTCCGGCAACCATTAGGTTTCCAAATGGGTATAATCTTATTCTACACTTTCCTATCTTCATTTTGATATATTATGGGTTGAATTTGGTTAAGAGACGATTAAGTTACAAAGTTTTGAAAATTGTCCAAACCAAACTTCAAGCCAAGAGCTCCGAGATACTTAACGGAACACCAAAATGATGGATGGTGGACAATCTCAGGAACCACTGTTATCGATTTGGAATCTCAGGGACCAAAGTGATGAGTTATGCAAATCTCAAAGACCATTGTGGCTATTTACCCTAATCTAAACTAGAAGGAAGAGAATTTGAACATAGGTGTAGAAAGGAGAAAACTTATATAGCCAACTTGGATACGCCTGGTATACAACTGAGAAAATTGAAGATGTTAGATGTAACAGAACAAACAACCCAAAATTCTCCAACTGAAGCTGTCAGCTTTCCATTCCGTACCTAAAATCTCAATATTTTCAAACTTACAATCTCATTATTTTCCCCCCGCCATTCGAAAAAAACAAACCATCCGAAATTCTCAGAAACAAAAAACCCAATTCCACAAAAAAAAAAAAAAAAAAACCCACAAACCTTGGGAGCAGTTTTCCAGAGATTGGTTGCAATAGCCTTATCCAGAGCCTCCAAAACAGCCTTTGGCCAAAGGTTATTGTACTTCTTGGAGTCGGCTTTCCTCTCAATGTTTCTCACGGCGGCTTCCGTTTGGAGGGGCCTGAGAGAGATTCTACTCATTCATCGGAGAAGGGTCGGAGCTTCGTAATATAAATGGAGGCAATGAATAGTTGGGTTTGGTTTATTGGCGCGTTCAACGTAGAATGCCGTCGAATATGTGGCGCCGATTAAGGAGGTTGAGGTGGAGAGGCGCAGGTTAGTGGGGTGAATGAGGTGACACTCCATTGCGTCGGTTCCAGGCGGTCGTCTCTTGCCTGTTACGCGGGTAATGGGAGTGAGAATTCTTTCTTAGGTGTAGAAAGGTGAAAACTTATCTAGCCAACTTGGCTACGCTAGGTATACAGCAAGTACTCATTCTTATATGGCAAGTCTTCAGGTCCACCAACATGAAATTTACTACTTCTACTTATTTCAGCTATAGGCCATCATATCGAAGGGGTGTGTTAAGTTTTACAATAAGCTAACAATAATGTGGTTCAAATTCACCTTTAATAAGAATTGAACTTAAAACATCACAAAGTAAAGAGGATAATTAAGCCCACGACGATGCCCCAAAGCAAACTCTATCTCATGATCCTTTTTGTTTTGTTACATTCGTATTACTCGTACAATGGTCATAAGACAACTATTCCATATTCCTCCTCCTCTTTTCCCACGTCACATTATAGTTTCCAAAAACAGTTTGTACCAAAGCTTTAGGGTGGCAGGGGAATGGAGAAACCGAATTCTATGCTTTCACCACCCATTATGCACACGATGCACCAATATAGAGATAGCCTTTCATTAACCTTCCTCCTCCGGCAATGTCACAAGTATTAACTCTACCATGAGCCAAAATCTATCCCAATATTCGCTTCTTAAGGAACTTTTGCTTTCCAAATCATCTGAAGAGGATAGAAAATGGGAGAAGATGATTTATTAATTAATTTGCTAAAGAATGACTTGCACGAAAATACATGCGATGACTCAAATTTTCCAATAACTTCTATCCCATATCCTCAATTGGAAGGACATCGGCTCAAGCCTCTAACCACAATATCACTCATAACACTAATTTAACATTTTCTTGTAATGCTATTATTCAGCAGTGATATAAACGCGTCAAACATAAACGTGTCGGATATTTGAAAGCCTCTAACCCGTCTGATGCCTTTTACTTATTGAAAAAATTTCTACGCTGCAAATAAAAACATGTCGTAACCATGAAATACGATATACTAATGTAAATGTAAATTGTGAAATCCGGAAACGGGATTTCACAGTATTATTGAAAACATGATCTTTTCTAAGGATTAAAATGAAGTTTTCTTAAATCAATTAATAATACATCCAACAACATGTCTTTTTTGGTTATTTCACGGTCCCAACACTTTTATATAGAAGTTTATCAAACGCCTTGACATAGTTTTATTTATGTTTTTTTTTTTTTGGCTAAAAGCACTTTTAGCACTATAATTTACCAAATACTTACCTGATACTTTTAGCAATATAGTTTACCAAATTATTACCTGGTTTTTTTACCGCACGAAGGAAGCAGTTTCGAAAAAATAGAAAACAATCCTCTTTTGGGAGTTCGGTTCTCATCAGATGCGTCATGGCTTGTTCGTGCCGCATCATCACCACCACCAACACTATCAGACCTCAATAGTTTCGAAGGTGGGTTCTCATCAGATGCGTCATGGCTTGTTCGTGCCTCATCCTTGTCTCCCGACAACCAATCCTGATGCGGGCTTAAATCATATAAACCGGGATGCGAATCATCCGTATTTTCCTTCATAAATTTGTCCCAGACAAGATCAACCGCTATTTTCTTCACTCTTGCAGAATTATCTCCTGATCCAACTGGCCCTACAAAAATCTTGACTTCATCCCCGTCTTGCCAACTGAGCACATCGTTGGATAATTGCCCCTGCCAAAGATAATGGTCTTCAGAATCACAGGAAGTTGGTACTGAGGCATATGTTATCCGGGCGAGCAAAGCAGTACACTTGGTTTTATTTTGAACGGAAATGACAAGCGGCCAATCCTCAGGTTGTTTGTTTGCAGAGTATACACAGCACAGAGTCAACCATTTAAAATTACTACCAACCCTTTGAGGCACTTCAAAACAGACTTCATCATCCCTGTCATCCCCGACATACTTGAACCACTCAGGAATACAACTTCCATTGAGGAAAATGCCACCATATCCGCAAGAAGTCCATCCCTATACCATGTAGATTAAGATTTGTATGAGCAACACATTGTAATGAATGCTTGTCTATACATGTACACGTTCATCTGGGTGTGTGTGAGTGAGTGTGTGTGTGTGTGTGTGAGAGAGAGAGAGAGAGAGAGGACCTTTAGGATTGCTTCTTTAAAAGAAGCAGTGAGATTGGTGCAACCTTCCATATGAATACTTGTCATGGAGTTTAATGCCTTATCCAAGCCTAGAATTTCAGAGAGTTTGGGGGAGTGATTCAGATGCAATTCTCTCATCCTTGACATTTCTGAAAAGTCGGGCATTTTCTCCAATGCAATGCACTCATCCGCTTCCAGGATTTCCAAATTTGTTGGTAAAGCTGGAATTTCCTCAAGCTTTTTGCAACCTTTGAGTATCAATCTCTCAAGATTTGGGATATTCGAGAAGTCGGGTAATTTAGTCAGGTCATTGCAGTAACTGAGATTAAGAAACTTCAACTTCTCAAGTGACTGTCAGACAAGAGAGAATGAATATCAAAATTCAAATAGAAGAGAGAAAGCATGATGTTGGTATTTACAAAATGTGGAGGAAAGATTTGATAAATAGTTTGGTTGAGTTCAGTACAGTACCACGTCGGAGTCCTCCCAAACTTTTATGTTGCTATGACTCAGGTCGATGTCAACTAGGTTTGTTTGATTAAAATCACTGGGTATGCCAGTCATAGGAAACTCAGGCCAACACAACCATCTTAACCCTTTGGAAAGGTGTATGGAAAGGTCTTTGCAGTCTCCAGGGAACTGTACGCCTTTGAGTTTGAGTAATCTCAATCCGTCCATCTCGCTAAATGCTTTTATACTGAAGCTGGGCTTCTGACGTTCTGACAAATCTAAAGCGAGTCCCTCAATTTCTCCCCTTCCCTGTTACAAACAAAAAGCAACTAAAATAAGACGGGTTATGTGCTTAGACTTCAACTTCTGCAGCACCACTAGATCAATGACAGAGTGTGCTTAGGGTAATTTTCAGATAATTCAGTAAATAAAATCATTTACTTTTTTCTCTCTGTTCATTGAATCCACACGTAATCAATGCATTGTATATTGTATGATGTGGGATATGCAATTTGATTGCGATTTGTACTTACAGATTTGGTCCTCTCGGTCCTCAGTACGCATTTCACATCTTCATGATCCCACAATCTGCAACGTTTTTGAAGGTTGTTAGGGGATTTCGCACGTACGATTTCTCTGCCAGTGTCTCGAATCAAGCCATGCATCATCAGATTGCCCTCTTTATCAACAGTTATAAGGCATTGATCATGGAGTTCTTCAATTTCTAATTTTGTATCGGATTGATGCAGTATTTTCATGACATAATCCTTGTTCATTCCAGTAAAAAAACACGATATATCAAGGAATATAGCCCTCAAATCGTCATTAGTTAGCCCATCATAGCTTATCTTCAAATTTTTATGAATTTCCGAATCAAGTCGTGATCTTTTCCATCTACCCAATGCACTATTCCATTGACTTATGGTTTTTCCCAATAGATAAGAACCTAAATATTCAAGTGCTAGTGGCAAACCTCCACAGTAATCAACAACTTCTCTTGCGAGTTCAAAATACCCTTCCATAGGATAATTCATATTAAAGGCACGCCTACTAAGGAGCTCAAGAGCTTCTTTTTCATTCATTGCTGGTAGATGACATATCCTATCCGCTTTTAGTATCTCTAGCAAATGTTTATCTCTTGTGGTTATAATAATTCTACTACCTGGGCCAAATGAGTCGCGTTTTATAGCTAATGCTTCTAACTGTTTCACGCTGTCTACACCATCAACTATGACAAGTACCCTCAGTTTGCCAAGTCTTCTTTTTATATCCTCGGTACCTTCATCAACTCTACTAACCTTTATGTTTCTCGATCTCAACACATCATAAAGAAGTATGTTTTGCACATCAACCAGTTTCTCTTCTCTCACATTAGCAAGAAAACTTTTCCCTGCAAACTTATCCGGATATTTGTTGAAAATGGCCGGATATTTGTTGAAAATGTCTTTGGCAACCGTCGTTTTACCCAGTCCGCCCATACCCCAAATTCCAATTATGCGGACATCATCTGATCCTCCATCATTCAAATACTTAACAATTTCTTGCACCCGAGAATCTATTCCAACTGGGTTTGGGGCTACGGTCAAGCATGTGTTCTTCAGTTTTCTAGCGATCTCGTCAACAATTTGCTGGATAAACCTTCCTTCATACCTGGTAGTAAAATTTCATAAAAAAGGAAAAGACCATATTAGCTTTTCTTTAGTTGTGGCTTTTAGAACAAAATTGTAGAAGACAACACTCCAAAAATATCTAAACGAGACAAAGCACTGAGAGATAAAAGTCTCTAATGCGTGCTGCTTGAAAGCAGAAAGAGTGGATGAGTGTGAGAAGAGAACACCAATAGATTGTACAACGGTAAGGGAATCAAGTTAGGACTCTAGTGAAAGAGCATAAATCTGAATTTCATGAGGACCAAGTGAGTGTTAGAAGAGAACACCACGAGGAGAGTGCAGAAGATCAAACCATCACAAAGAAGTGGAGAAAAGCCCTCTCTTGCGAAGAGTGATCAGAACTTGTAATCAAAACGGTTCCGAGTCACAAAGATGAAAACACAGGGAGGGACTACTTGAATCAAAGATGATCAAGTAAGATCACCATGAGAGTAAGTCCTGTCACAAGGATTTCGAAGTAAGATCTGACGCAGGACTACTTGAGAAAAAGATGATCAAGAAGAAATACAAGCAGAGATCAAACTTGTACATAGAGAGGGACTCTCAAATATGCCACAAAAGTTATTTGTTCAAGTAAAGAATGTAAATGAAATGCTCGTTTGCTAAACCCCTTTGAATATTGTTCTGTTTCTTGTATTCCTATCTTGTCCTTCTCTTTGTCATTCGAAAATATCGAAAAGTGTGTGAGAGACAAAGGCCTAATCTCCGAAAGCATAACCATGCATTCTTCACACTACACAACGATTGTGAGATAAAACTTAAAACCTCAACCTATCTAAAACTCAACACATCATGACCAAATTCTTTTTTTGTTTTTTGGGAGTGAAAAGATTTGAACATACACTAGCGCAGGTGCACTACGTTAATCGATGTGATTTAGCTCAATCCGAGCACACTGGTAGTAAGATCAAGCATTGGTATATTCTAATATCGGAGTTTTTAAGCTTTGCGTTTAAATGCATAAAATCAAAGATTATAAGCCTTTACTTGAAATCAGTTTACAGTTTATTGACATTTGGTAAACAGAGGCTGGCAATTGAATTTTATAATTAAGGAATTAAAAAGGAAAAGGAAGTAAGTAATTACCCAGTAGTTTCACTAAAACCCTCGCCGGCCAACTCTGCAGCTGCTTTAAGAGCATCTTTCCAGATCTGCACCTTGTCAGGGAAGCGCTGTTGAAGTCTCAGAAATGCTTCCTCAAAATCACTTGTCTGATGCCTGACATGGGTAGGATCGATATCATAGAAAATTGGCAAAACCATTAGCCCCATTGTTTCTTTGCAGGCCAAGATCTCCACCAGCTCCTCAAGACACCATCTCGACTCAGCATACCCCCTTGAGAAGATGATAGCAGCAAGCCTAGAGTCTTTGATTGCTTGCTGCAGTGCTGGTGTTATAGGGTCGCCTCTGGTCAAGGTGTTCTCGTCGAGAAAGACGTGGAATCCCTCTTTTTCCAATGTGAGGGCGAGGTAGTCCGTCAAGTTCCTGCGCGTGTCGCCTCGGAAGCTCAAGAACACGTCGTACTTGCCACTTTTTGAGGAGGAGGAGGCCATCTTCTTCAGTTGGCATGCTACTGCAGCAGCAATTCTGACGATAAGAACTGTAAATCGGGCATCCCAAAGTAAAGTCAACTCCCCATCGTTTCAAGTCGTCCTTTGGCTGGCGAGCACAGCTTCTTGACACTTTCTTTTTTCTATTTCTCGATTGATAATTTAACTTTCTTTATTGACCAAAAAAACAAAACCCAACTTTTACTTTCATGCAAGCGTGATATTATGGGAGGAATGAATCAAACTCTGGACCTTGAGTCCAAATGTGTATGTTCTTAACAAAATAAGTTACGAAAATAATCTACAAATTAATCAAACTATTATGTTTTTTTTAACTTTGAATTTCTGTACAAGCTCTCGGCAACCGTTGAGATTGAACTCTGAATTTCTGTGTAAAGGGATCCAATTGTTCTTGTGAAGAATTGGCTGTTCTCGTCTAAGTATTCAATTTTTATTTTTAATTCGAGCCACATTTTAATTTAAGGGGTATTCAATTGAGAATTTGAGATACTTTAATAGATTTATAAATCTATGGATTTTTATAGAGTTTAATTGATTTGTAGATATTCCATATAAAATTTTGATTCAATTCCCTCGAAATCTCATGGGGAGATGTGAGATTTGTGGATGCTTAAAATACACTGAAATCTCTCTAATTCCCTCTAATTCCTCAACTTTCTCAAATTCTTTAAAATCAATTTCTAATTGAACTCACTTGGAATGTTATAAATTTCTTTAAAATCCTAATTGAATACACCCAAATTTCTAATGATTTTAATAAATTATTTTAAACTTCTAATTGAATAAACCTTGAATTTTAGAGAATAATTTAACATCTTGATTGAATACTTATATAGCCGACTTGACTAGGCATACGAACATCTAACAGAACAAACAACCCAAAATCCAATATTCTCCAACTGAACTGAATCTGTCAGCTTCCCACTTCGTACTTAAAATCTCAATATTTTCAAACTTACAATCTCATTATTTCCCCCACCATTTCGAACAAAACAAACAACCCAATATCCGAAATTCTCAGAAACAAAAAGCCCAATTCCGAAACAGAAGAAAAAAAGTTGAAAAAAAAAAACCCACAAACTTTGAGAGCAGTTTCCCAGAGATTGGTTGCAATAGCCTCATCCAGAGCCTTTGTACTTCTTGGAGTTGGCTTTCCTCTCAATGTTTCTCACGGCGGCGTCCTTTCGGAGGAGCCGAGGGAGATTCTTCTGCTCATTCATCGGAGACGGGTCCGAGCTCCGTAATATAAATGGAGGCACTGAGTTGTTGGGTTTGGTTTGTTGGTGCGTTCAGCGTAGAATGTCGTCGAATATGTGGCACCGATTAAGGAGGTTGAGGTGGAGAGGCGCAGGTTACTGGGGTGAATGAGGTGACACTCCATTGCGCCGGTTCCAGGCGGTCGTCTCTTGCCTGTTAAGCGGTTATGGGAGTGAGGCTGGGTGGTCGGCGTTTAGAACAAGATGAGAAGCGCAAATGTGAATAACGTCACAACAAGTGTGAACACGCTTTTTACCGAGTCCTGTATTATTTGGAGGAAATGCAGGTGGGCCTCTGTTAGTAGTACGAATCATTTCCTCCTACTCCACTAAATTTAGAGATCTGAATCGTTAAAATTTGATCCAAAGTCAAAGACTACTAATAGAAACTCACTTTAAAAGTTATAATAACTTTAACTGTTGTAACCCTTATAATAATTTTTAAAGTGGGACCATGTTTGTAGCCGTTAGATCAAATTTTAACGAGCCGGATTTCCAGACTTAATGGATTAGGAGGAAGGGATCCGGATCCCTTTCCTTATTTGGAGACACTTAATTTTATCTCCGCATACTTTTCTTAGTTTTTAGCCATTAATATTCTACAATTCATTTAACATCTAAAATTAAGAGTGTCAAAAATTAAAAAAAAAATGTGAGAAGCAAAAAGTAATATGTAAATAGATCTACCCATTCTTTATCGATACCAATATTTTTCCAACTGTTTGGATTAAAAAAATTAAGAAAAAAAATGTTGTGCACTGCCTTTTCAATGGAGAGAAATTTAAATATATATTTAAGTTTGAAATTTGTTGAAGAAGAGAAATAACATTGAACTAGAATTTAGTTGATGACTACCGGCTCATTTGGATGTATTGCGGACAATATCGTGTTACGGTGGAGTCAGGCTCAGGATGTGATGGGGGCCTATAAGATCTCACATCGTCTAAGGGAGTGATCCTTAAATGTATATTTTCATCCCTACCTAGCACGAGACCTTTTGGGAACTCACTGGTTTAGGGTTCCGTAGGAACTCCAAAGTTAAGCGAGAAGGGAGCTAGAGCACTCTCATGATGGGTGACCCACTGGGAAGTTCTCGTGTGAGTTCCCAGAAACAAAACCGTGATGGCGTAGTCGGGGCTCAAAGCGGACAATATCGTGCTACGACGGAGTCGAGCCTGGGATGTGGTGGGGGCCCGGGCCGGGATGTGACAATTTGGTATCAAAGTCTAACCCTAGCTGTGGTGTGCCAACGAGGACGTCGAGCCCTTAAGGGGGGTGGATTGTAAGATCCCACATCGCCCAGGGGAATGATCCTTAAATGTATATTCTCATCCCTACCTAGCACGAGGCTTTTTGGGAGCTCACTGGCTTCGAGTTCCGTAGGAACTTCGAAGTTAAGCGAGAAGGCGAGAAGGGGGCTATAGCACTCACATGATGGGTGACCTACTAGGAAGTTCTCGTGTGAGTTCCTAAAAACAAAATCTTGAGGGCGTAGTCGAGGCTCAAAGCAGACAATATCGTGCTAAGGCGAAGTCGAGCCTGAGATGTGGTTGGGGCCCGGACCGGGATGTGACAATTTAGTATCAGAGCCAATCCCTGGCCGGAAGTGTGCCGACGAGGACGTTGAGCCCCTAAGAGGGGTGGATTGTAACATCCCACATCGCACAGGGGAGTGGATCCTGTAAGCCTTATATGTATATTCTCATCTCTACCTAGCACGAGGCATTTTGGGAACTCACTGGCTTCGGGTGCCATCGGAACTTCGAAGTTAAACAAGTTCGGGTGAGAGCATTCCCATGATGGGTGACCCACTGGGAAGTTCTAGTGTGAGTTCCCAGAAACAAAACCGTGAGGGCGTGGTCGGGACCCAACACGGACAATATGATGCTACGGTGGAGTCGGGTCCGAGATATGATGAGGGCCCAGGCGGCGATGTGACAACCACAGTAGAGCATTTCTATATAACAATTCTTTCTCTTGTCTTTAAAATTCGGATTATATTTTGCGTAGCAAATCGCAAGTGTAATAACAAGTGAGTTTGAGTCCATTGTATTATGGAGACAATTTGTTTCTAAACTCTTTTTGCACAAAGGAAGAACGACAAGTTAGTCTTAGTGACAACGAATTTGATTCGTGTCTTTACTTAACATTCATATCTTTTATGTTGTTGCCTTCATATTTCGTTATATATTCCCAACAGTCTGCATTAACGGAAGGGAGGAATTTTTGAAATTGAAATGCAATAAGTTGAAGAGAAAAACTTTAACCACTAGGATATTCCGCCATTTGCATACAAATCTAGAACATGAAGAAAGTTGAGGTTTCATCATAAAATTAATTGGCAATATGAAGAGTAACTCAACTTACTTATAAGCCCATGCAATATTGTTCCTCCTCCAATCAATGTGGGATCCATTCTCAACGGTAGCCACTCACGTGTAGCGATTTTTCAAGTCTAACATGTGGATAACACAAAACAGGATGACATGGATCATGCGTGGCCTTTGGGTTTCACACGTGGAATAACATGTTCTAATACTACGAAAAAAAATTGAGGTTCCACTATACACCAATTGACAATATGAAGAATAACTCAATTTACTTATAAGTTCATGTTCCAATCAAGATGGGAACATTGATATAAAAACATGAGAGATGTCGCAAGAATTTATGGTTGACTTAAAGTCAAATAGACTAAATAAAGGGACTCGGATGCAAATACGTTGTCTAAAAGGATCAACATGGAGAAATGTGAAGGACCAACGAAGCACCTAAAAAAACCATGCTAGCTAAGAGGAAAATGTGGTGGAAGGACCAACGAAGCACCAGAGTGAAAAATATGAAAAATGATTAGGCAAAATGTGAAGGAACCCAAACATATAAACAAACCCACATCAGCCTCTTTCCGTCAGAGAAGTACACAAATTAGTCTCTCTCCCATTGCACTGCATGCTCTCCAACGTCAGGGACGTGGGTGGCTCTGCATCCTAACCCTAATTACTTCAAGTTCTTCTTCTTTTCCCATCTCTTTTTCCTGCATTTTCTTTCAATTTCTCACCCTTTCCTTCTTAACAAATTAAGAGATATATATAGACACACACTATAGAGAAGAGAGAGCTGAGCCACATGGGGATCAAGCTTGTTGAGATTTTGGATCAAGGAGTGAGAATCGTTTGCAGGTCTTATTCTCATTGCCCACAGACTAGCCGCTTGTACTACCATCCTCCCCGGCCTAACCAAGAAGACAAGCAGCACCACAATCACCATTTTGGAGGCGGCGCCACCACCTCCTCTGGCGGTGATGCCACGAAAACTGAGGTACATTATTTTTGTCCCAGGGCGGCGGCTGATACTAATGAGTCAATTATTATTTTCTCCGTTTAATTAATATTGAGGTAAAAATGTATGCACAGATTTTGGTTATACTTGTTTATTTGAGAGAGACACATCCTCTTTATATGCTAACCCAAAAACTAAAAGAAAAAGGAAAAGGAAAAGGTTATGTATTTTTTTCATGTTGTTCTCCAAATATGGGGTTCTCTCTTCCTTGTCATTTTTATAAACAAGTCTTTCTGCAAGTGTTCTCATAATATTTATTTTTTTATCACCAGCTCTCGCGATGACCTAATTTTTTTTGTTTTTGCAATCATTCTCTAGGGGATGAGTTCATTCCTCTACTTAGAAATTTTATAATTCTAACATTTAATTTCTTAATTTTCATTTGAAGATCATTTACGCAAAAAAAGTTATTCAAATCGGAAATCATTTAATCATCTAAATGTATCAAATTAATGATGATTCGACCATTTATTTAGATGACTAAACAACCTCTGATTCGAATAATATTTTGTAAGAATGATTTTCAAATGAACATTAAAAAATTGAACGATTCCGATTATG